GATCTTGGCTTACTGCAACCTGTGCCTCTCGGGTTCAAGCGATTCCCCTGCCTCAGCCTCCCGAGTAGCTGGGACTACAAGCATGTGCCACCACGGCTGGCTAATTTTTTGTATTTTTAGTAGAGAGGGGGTTTCACCGTGTTGGTCAGGATGGTCTCGATCTCCTGATCTCGTGATCTGCCCACCTCGGCCTCCCAAAGTGCTGGGATTTACAGGCGTGAGCCACTGCGCCCGGCCTCCTTTTGTAGTTTTATCAAAATTATAATTTATGTCCACTCACTGGTATTTGCTATTGAATAAATATTTGGCCATTTTTCCTTTTGTAATTTTATCAGCATATCAAAAAATTAGCTTTTTTCCTCCCAATAAAGTTGTCATATTCTATTTTGTAAGCAACACCTTTTTTCTTTTTTTTGAGACAGAGTCTTCCTCTGTCATTCAGGCTAGAGTGTAGTGGCACGATCTTGGCTCATTGCAACCTCCGTCTTCCAGGTTCACGTAATTCTTCTGCATCAACCTCCCAAGTAGCTGGGATTACAGGCACCCGCCACCATGCCCGGCTAATTTTTGTATTTTTAGTAGAGGGGGGGTTTCACCATTTTGGCTAGGCTGGTCTTGAACTCCTCAAGTCAAGTGATCTGCTCGCCTCGGCTTCCGGAAGTGATGAGATTACAAGCGTGAGCCCCCGTGTCTGGCCAAGCAACACTTTGTCTTCTGGAATAGTGTTGACAATAAATGCTGCTTCCATTGTACGGCTTTGACTGATGCATAAGATTTTGTTAAATAAGAAAATGTCTTAACCTTCACATATATATAGATTATTTTATCATTCATAATCCGTGTTTGAATGGTTACCATGCCAGCTTACTTTGCTTAGAAAGAAATATTTATCATTTTTCAAAATGTGCATTGCAATTCTAAGAAATTCCGTTTTATTCTTAGGATTCCCCTAGCTTGTAATATCAATGACTTGTCTTTTACTGACATTTGATAGTTCACTCCCCAAATAGGGGATTCCTTTATGTGTAGTTATTGGGTTGTATCAGAATTCCTGCTTGAGTATAAGTTATATATGTATTGGAACATAGGAAAAAGATACATGTCGTTTATCTGCTATGAGCATATGGGGAATACTCATTGTACAGGAGATGGAAATTCTAACCAAGGTTCCCCGGGATGCTGAAGGCCTTGCAGAGATGCTCTTAAACCCGTGGCACGGACTTCTTAGCAAGTTCCTTTGTTCTTTCAGTTACCAAATCGAAAGGACAGGTTTTCAATATTGGTGTAGTGTAACTGCTCACTTTTAAGAGCTCATGCATTTAAGGATTAAAATATGATTCACGTGTATTTTGATGGAGTCGTTTATTGAGCTGTGTGAGCCAGTGTTAAGGAAATCAAGCTGGCGTTCAGAACAGCTGTGGCTAGCCATTTGTCAGGTGTTAAATGATAGTTTAGGGTTGCATCATTGGTAGTCAGCAGTTACTTGCGGTGTAGTTTTTGGGTGACACATTTTCATCAAGTCCTAACCTGTTGTCAATGAGATCTTGAAACTAACATGCTTATGAAATTATGTCTGTGCAAAATGGGTGTGTTTGAAGAGTTGTAAGGTGCTGTTGTTTGTGTTTACTTTTTATGATTAATGTTTTGAATAAAGTATACAGTTCAAAAAAAAAAAAACCTCCAAAAGACATGCTAGGAAATCCCCTCCGCTCCTGTCTGCGTCCACTCAGCGCTCCTGCCCCGGAGGTGAAGGGTCACATTTCTTCTTGTTGATCTTTCCAGTGTCTCTTTATGCAGACACAAATATCTATATTATTAACAAACACAAATATGTTATTAATAGCGATACAAATAAATATTCCATTTTCCTACCTTTTTTACACTGAGAGTGTTTTCTTCTTTTAATAGTATTTTGAAAATCTCTCGGTGTCTATACCTAAAGTTCTTCCTCATTTTCCCCCAGTTAATTTTGTAATTAGGTTGAAGGTACATATCTGTGGAGAAATTATTGACATGAAGTTATAATAAAAACACACTTAAAATCTATAACAAATTTTCTCAGATACTTTAAAAATAAAGACTTAAGTAAAACTAATATATTTGAAAATAATAGGAGAAAAAAAATTCACTGAACCATTTCTGAGCATTCCAGCTCATGTCTTGAGGGCGTTTGCCGCTGACTCATGCTGAAGCTGCTTGGTGTCTGCATTTGAAACAGGAAGTGAGTGTTAGTGGCTTGGAATCCTGTTTTCTCCTCCTCTCCTCCTTTGCTGCCAAGATTTTTATCAATTCATTTGGATTTTTAGTTTTCTTACTGGATTGACCAGATCTAAAGACTTTAGACTGTATATGAACTCAAATAAGAAAATGTCCTTAGAAGTATGATTTGAATAAACATGAAATGTTTATTATTTTCCATTGTCTAGGAAGAAAACCTTCCTAAAGAAAATACCTAATAATCCTGCAGAACATTCTGATTTCTTATCCTTAGGTATCATCCCCACATTCTGAAGTAAAAAACCTTTCTTATTAGTCATAAGATAAAATGGATAACTTTTAAGATAGCATTTCTACTTTTTTTTTTTTTTTTTTTTTTTTGAGGCAGAGTTTCTGTCGCCAGGCTGGAGTGCAGTGGCTCGATCTCGGCTCGCTGCAACCTACGCCTCCTGGGTTCAAGTGATTCTCCTGCCTCAGCCTCCTGAGTAGCTGGGATTACAGGCTCACGCCACCATGCCTGGCTAATTTTTTGTGTTTTTGGTGGAGACAGGGTTTCACCATGTTAGCCAGGACAGTCTTGAACTCCTGACCTCACCATCCACCTGCCTCAGCCTCCCAAAGTTCTGGGATTACAGGCGTGAGCCACCGCGCCTGGCCTCTACTTTTTTTGTTTTTTAACTGCTCCTTGCAGAGCAGGACTACCCCCCATAGGCAATGTGCACTGAGTAGCCTCGTTTCTACTATTGATATTAAACAAAACAGCATGATTCTAGTTTATTTATTCTTAATATTTGCATTAAACTTCACAGCTGCCATAGGTTTCTTGGATTTTACTTCTATTTCTCGAATTCATTTTCTGGAATTCTTAAGCAGTTTTCTTCCCTCCCCACAAGAAAAAGGTGTATGTTAAAGAAAATGTTCTTTCTCTTTTGCACTTGAAAAGTAATTTATAGAATTCTATGAAAAAATACTTGGGCATTCTAGGAGCAAAATCCTTTTTTCTCAGAACTTTCAAAATGTTGCCCCATTGCCTTATATAGATAGCCTTGTTAATTTTGCTATTAAGACATTCTGTCGAGTTTTTTAATTTAGTGATTTAAAATTAGTAATCTAATTTCCGTGAATACTTTCATGATCTCTGATAGCTCCTTTTTTTTGTGATAGTCTGTGCTAATTTTTTCTGCTTCCTTTTAGCCTATAGAATTTTCCCTTCCATTGCTTTGAGGGTTTCTTAGTGAGATTCATATCGTCTTTTCCCAGTGTTGGTGAAGAGAAGAAGGTGTAACCTTTCAGTGACAGTATTTCAGAAGATCATTTCTGAACCATTTTGAGGCTCTGTTTATTTTCACTACTACCGTCAGTAATTTCTTTGTAGACTTTTGCAAGTATGTGTAAATATTATATGAAAATTTTTTTGTTCTTAATGTATATTTATAGTTTTGGTAGATGTTGTCAAAGAGCTCTCCAGAAATGTTTCCCCTGTGCATTCTTACGAGTAGGGTATTGCACTTAGTGGCCATTTATTCACATTTACAATAATAATGAGTGTTACTCATTTATGTAATATTTAGTTACTGGTTATTTTTGAATCACTTGGCTTGTAAATTTCCCTGCAAGTTACTAGACTGTTTAGTTCCATTAGAACAGAGGAACCACACTCTGCTTACCATTTTTATACCCAATACTGATAATACGTGGGCATTTAGTAGGTTCTAAATAATTATTGATTAAATGAATGAATCAGTGCTTCTCCATTGTGGAAATCTAGTCATGCTAAATCTTCTCAGTGACTTCTTTTTTTTTTTTTTTGAGATGCAAGTCTGGCTCTGTCGCCCAGGCTGGAGTGTGGTGGCACGATCTCAGCTCACTGCAACCTCCGCCTTCCGAGTTCAAGCGATTCTCCTTTCTCAGCCTCTGGAGCAGCAGGGACTACAGGTGCATGCCACCATGCCCGGCTAATTTTTGTATTTTTAGTAAAGATGGGAGTTTCACCATGTTGACCAGGCTGGTCTCGAATTCCTGACCCTAAGTGATTCGCCCATGTCAGCCTCCCGGAGTGCTGGGATTACAGGCGTGAGCTCCTGTGCCAGGCCTCAGTGATTTGTTTCTTGGAGCTCCATGGAGAATATGAACTGGTAGGCACTTGCCAGACTCACATCCATGCAGTTTAACCACTTCGTTTTCCAGAGAGTCACATTCTGAATTCTGTGACATCAGGGCTTGCAACAAGGGCTTTGTCTGTCTGATGATACGTGTATCTGTGTGTCCTGTGGAAATGCATTTTTAAACTAAAAAGTTATATAGATATTTTTAAAGATCATTAATCAGGATCATTAACATTTTCCTTTTTTTGGATTTCCTTGTCTTCCCATTTGAACCACGTTTTCTGCTTTTCTTTAGTATGTTTGGCAGAGAAAACGGAAATGGAGGTAGTGGCATGAGTCAGCAGAAAGGTAAATGGAACAACTGGCAGTATTTGTGAACCAATAAAACTCTCCTGCAAGCAGGACTCGACAAGTTTGGCATACAAAATTGACTTGTTTCAAAATAAGCTTTATCAGTTTCATAGTGTTCTTGGACAATTTGTAGGAAAGGTTCAGAAGTATTTCTTTCATATAAACAACCTGGAACTCTTGAGTTGCAGATCCTCTGTTTAATTGAGAAAGGATCTTGGGGGTTATGGCCCAAATATTGCATAGGATTGTTAAAATATGTAGCATTTTTTCTGAAAGTATATAATTTGTATATTTTATGTGATCAGTGACTCTCTTGTTTTTTTTCAGTATATTTTTGGAGATTTTAGCCCTGATGAATTCAATCAGTTCTTTGTGACTCCTCGATCTTCAGTTGAGGTAAGACAAAACTGTGTTTCAGTGAGTACATGGGTAGATACAATTAATAGTTATGTTTCTATTTTAATTTTTTAAATAAAGAATTCCAATGTAGAGAAAAATATGGAGACTAATATGAGAAATGCCTCAACCTACCAGCTAGATTTGGCTGACATTTGATTTGGCATTTTGCTGTATTTACTTTATTAGAGTTTGAAAAGCAAATAAAGCATGACAGATGCAATTGAAGCCTCCTTTGGACCTCTCTCCCATCGCTCCCCAGAAGTAACTACTCTGCTGAAGTTGGGAAATATTGGTCCTGACTGGTTTTCACCTTTTATCATATATGTGTATATCACCATAATCAATTGTAGTGTTTTATGTGCTTTAAAATGTTACATAAATGGTATACTGTGTTCATCATTTTGTCGTTTATTTTAAGCTAACGTATTCTTTATGCTGCGAAATGTGTTCTTGTTCTTTGATTTGCGTTGCTCAGTACCACTTATTGAACACACCGCAATTTGCTTATGTATTTTCCTGTCGAGGGCTGTTTAGGTCTCTAGTTCAGCCGTTAAAGATATTGCAGTCAATGTATTTTACCATGTCTCCTTATGCCCCTCTGTGGGCTCCTCCGGGACATAGACCTGCGAATGGAATTACTGGGTTTGTGGACTGAGCCTCTTTAGTTTTACTAGAGACTGCTAGTTTGCTATCTAGGATTTTAACAGTCTGCATTCCTATCATCAGTGCATGGGATTTTCTTGTTCGTATTAAAAAAAAAAAATCTTGCTAACTCTTGGTGTTGGTATATTTAAAATTTTTGTGAATCTGATGTGTAGTAAATGGATTCTCATTGTTTTTTAATCTACATCTCCCAGATTACAGACAGCTGGGCACTATTTCATTATCTTCACATGTCTACTGGCAATACGGATGTCCTCTTCTGTGAATTACTTGATTTTATATCCCTTGTCCATATTTTTAAATCAAGTAGCTTGTCTTTTTCTTACTGATTTTTGGATTAATCTTTGGTTTTACAAGCATCTGTTCCTAGCATGAGGGCTTTAAGCTTCACATGTTAGGCACCTTTTTGGGGTTGGATTTTTTTGTTTTGTTTTGTTTTGGTTTTTTTGCTGGATAAGAGGAGTACACTTTTAACTTTAATGTCAACTGAATTGATTTTTTTCCCTTATAGTTTGTGGATTTTTAGTTTTAAAAATATCTTTAGGAAATTCTTCCCATCCTTGAGATAATGAAGACATTTGTCTGTTTTCTTCGAAAAGTTTTCAGGTTTTGTTTTCACGCTTCAGTGAGTATCGAGCACTGAACTCTGCATACATGTGAGGTGGCATCGAACTCCCTGTCCCTGTGGCCCTGGCAGGTGCCTCCGCACCATTCATTGGGAACTCAGCACTAAGCTGTCCCGTCAGCCCTGTTGGGCAGCGCATCTCCCCTGGTTCCCAGTGTGCCGTTCTGTGGGCCTGTTGCTTATCTCTATATAAACACCACACATTTTATTTTATTTTTTTATTTCTATTTCTTTTCTTTCTTTCGAGACATGGTCTCACTCTGCCCAGGCTGGAGTGCAGAGTGCAGTGGTGCAATCACAATTCACTGCAGCCTTGACCCCCGCCCTGCCTCAGGGGGGTCCTCACACTTCGGTCCCTGAGTAGCTGGGACTACAGGTGTGTGCCACCAGGCACGGGTCATTTGTGTGTGTGCGTGTGTGTGTGTGTGGTTTTTTTTTTTTAGTAAGGGGGTTTCGCATTTTTTCCCACATCACACTGATGTAACCATACATTTTAGTTGCTACTGGTTTTCTCAAGTGTGTGCGCATGTGGATGGGTGTGTGTCTCTTTACAAGTGAGTAGACAAAACTTGAGTTTTCATGGGATAGGAGAGTGAAAAGTGCACCGTATTTCAGGTCTGAAGGCCTGGGGTCGCTTCAGCTCTGCCACTTCCACAGGCTCGGAGGGCTTGGGCACATTCTTTCCTTTCAGGCCTCCCATTTTTTTCTCTCTCTTTTGTTTTTTAAATTGAAAAAATGCAGAATGCTTATTCACGTCACGGAAATGTTGGGAAATCAGCTAATGTATGGTCCAATAGCTAGTGAGTAACAGATGTTAGTAGAAATGGATGAAAAGGGCACAGATGGTAAGTTATGCCAAACCTTTTATTCGCAGTAGACATGACTGTGTCTCATGAAAATGAGTTCGAGCTTCAGAACTCGTAGTGTGTCTGGGCTTATTTGGACTTTTCTGTTTTTCTTATTTTTGAGCATACAGTGAAATTTGGAGGGGTATGAAAAGAGTTTATCAAAATCACAGTAACCTGAGAAAGGGAAATGCAGACTAACATAATTGGATTGAGTTACTTTTCCCAATCTTCAGGAGTCTGAATTATAATAGCACATAATTACACAGGAACTCACTTTCCTGAGGCGGCATGTGGTTGGGCCTGTGGGTGTGTGAGTGGCGAGGGCGTGTCAGTTGGATCTGTGGGTGTGTGAGTGGCGAGGGCGTGTCACTTGAACCTGTGGGTTTGTGAGTGGCAAGGGTGTGTCACTTGGATCTGTGGGTGTGTGAGTGGTGCGGGCGTGTCACTTGTGCCTGTGGGTGTGTGAGTGGCCAGGGCATGTCACTTCCACAGCACAGTTTGGCCTTTTATCTCTCAGGTAACATAATTGCTGCTCAGACATGCAGTGTTACTACCATGTGGCCATGGCATAAGTTACAATCTAGCCGAATTCTTCATACGCTTTTTCTCGGCTATTAGGAGCTTGATCAAACATTGTTTTCTCTACGTGGGGCCATGAATTGAAAAACCAAATTAAGAAATGTGGGGTGTTAAAATGAAAGTGCGTTCTGCCTTCCTGCAGAAGCGCCACTCCTGCCCACAGAGGGCTGCTTTGTCTTTTAGTTTGCTTGCTTGGCAGCTTGCCACCGACAAGATAAGGTGGCTAGTAATTCAGTGGGATCAGGAGAAGCAAATTCAGGTGAAAGGTAGCTGGTATCTTTTCTAGAGCTGGGCTCCAGTGATTTAAAAATGGTTTTCTCCAGTGGAAAAAATGCAGTCAACTTATTTAATAAGCATGTTTAAACCTCAGTCATAATCCTGTTAGTTATGTTCAGAAAGAGGACATGCTCACCGTTCTTTACGGTTTCCAGAATCTCAGTTTTGGAAGTAGCACACACCCCAACCATGGCTGAGTAAATAAGCTCCCGATGACGTAGTGTTGGCAGTGGGCAGTGTGTGTGGTGTGGGCGTGTGTAGAGAGTAGAGACAGTTCTTAATTTGGTGTCTTAATGGGATTTTAAAGGAGGGCTTTGTGGTTCAGGAGAGTCTTTGGGACGGAAAGCAGAACACACAGGTAGCCCCAGAGGGAGACCTCAGAACATGACCTTCCTAGCCACAGGCCCAAGTATCCTTTTCACAAGGCTGCAGCGCTGTTTTCAGACTGCGTGTTCACATGACTATTCATAGATTTCAGACTGTGTTAACATAACTCTTCATAGATGACAGTTTTTCCGCTTGCTCGTTTTGCATTTGTGTAGGGAATTTTATGTCTTTGCTTTGATTTTTGAACTTTGTATTCTTACAAATAGTTACATAGTTAACGAATGAACTTCGAACCATCCTTGCACTTTTCTTCTGTTGTGTATTTACATATCCAGTTACCACAGACTAAGGGCATCTGATGTGTGAGGGAGGTTTGTTGAAAGAAAGGTGCTGTGTGCCTGTAGAGTAAAACACACACATTTCTACAGTGCCACAACCCACCTGGCATTCCTGCAGGTGCACTTTTTTATCAGCTTAGCAAATCAAAGTAAGTGTGTTGAGCACGCTTACAGAAGGGTGGCAGTGTCATCCGGAGTTTGATGGTGGTCGTCTCACCGGATCCCTGTCATCCGGAGTTTGATGGTGGTCGTCTCACCGGATCCCTGTCATCCGGAGTTTGACTGGTGGTCGTCTCACCAGATCCCTGCAGTGCCTTTTACTAGCAGTGTCGCCCGACTTCCTCATCTGTCAGAGGGCCACAATAACAGGACCTCCTCCCCAGAGTTGTTGAGGAGGAGCAGGGTGTGTGCCACCTGGTGTCACTGGTACAGCCTCTCCGCCCTCAGTCAGCGCCACCTGGCATCACTGGCCCCACCTCTCCACTTGCTTGTCCTCAGCGTCGTCTGTGTATTTTTCCCGATTGCTGGGGTTTTCTTCTGCGTGTTGTGGGAGTGGCTGGGAGTTGAGTGAGTGTGCACACCCCATGGTTGAATGTTGAGGAAGGGGCAGCCGGAAGATGGTGAGCAGGGTTCCCACAGCTCTCTGCCTTGCACTGGCGTTTGAAGTGGATGGGTGAAGAGGTCCCTTCTCCAAATTGTGCGTCTTCCCGGCCTGCTGCACTTTCGGATCTGGAGGTTTTCTTCAGCATTCTGTCTTCCCTGAGCAGAACAGAATACCGTAAGTGTGAAGAGAACATTGATACAATAGTGATAGAACTGTTTTGACTCCGGCAAAGATGGTTTCTTGATGTTACCATGATTTTGTGTAGAGAGAGTGATTCAGAACACTATTCATGCCTCAAAATAATACAGCTTTCTGTCACCAGGGGGCATCCTAATGTCATTAACAGAAAAAGAGAGGGCATTCTGTGTGTCATTTCCAAACTGTCTTTTGTGACCACAGAGGGTTTTGAACGAGATTGGAGGCTTCCTGAGACACAGATGGCAGCTGTGTCCACTGCCCATATAGACCCACCTTTCTCCTCCAGGTGCCTGCCGGCATCAATGCTGGTGTGTGGAATGATCTTTGCATTGAGGGTGCCAAGACTAGTGTAGCCCTCAGCACACAGAATGCTTTCTCCTCGGTGTCAATGTGATGAGTACTATGTTGCCCCCTGGTGGTGGAGATAAGTGCAGCTGCCAACTCCTGAAGGCTTCTTTTGAATTGCCCTGTGTTCTCCTGTTTGTCATAATTCTCTGGGAAGAGAACTTACTGGGTTACTTGCAGAGAGAAGCTTTTATTGCTGTGATTATTGAATTGGTGTGCTGAGATTTCATTGGAGAAATCGGCTGAGGAAGCCAATCAAGCAGCAGCTCTCATACAGTATTGGGCATGAGACTTACCCAGGAGCCTCTGAACTTTGCAGCCTTACGGCCATTCCTGCACTGGCCATTGTACTGCAGTGAACAGACTTTGGGAAGTGCTGCACCAGAATATCTTTTTGTCCTTTTGTTCTGCCCTCAGGTAGCAGTTTGTCTCTGCTTACCTTACCCCTTTTCTTCCTAAACTTTTTTTTTTTTTTTTTTTTTTTTTTTTTTTTGAGACAGAGTCTTGCTCTGTTTCCCAGGCTGGAGTGCAGTGGCGTGATCTCGGCTCCCTGCAACCTCCATCCCCCAGGTTCAAATGATTCTCCTGCCTTAACTTCCCAAGTAGCTGGGATTACAGGTGCTCGCCACCACGCCCAACTGATTTTTTGTATTTTTAGTAGAGATGGGGTTTCACCATATTGGCTAGACTGGTCTTGAACTCCTGACCTCAAGTGATTCACCCACCTTAGCCTCCCTAAGTGCTGGGATTACAGGCATGAGCCACCATGCCTGGCCCCTTCCTAAACTTTATTACACCCAGTGTGTCCATTGGAAGCATTTCCAACTCTTCAATAAATGTTATGGAATAGCTAGGAAGAAGAAAAATTTAAGTTGTTTTTGGGATACCTTTTCAGCTTTTTACAAAGAGATCAGACAGTTCCCATTCTGCTTTCGGTCTTCCAAACAAGGAATGTGACTTCTAGCTGTTAATTTCGTTAATTAAGGCACAGTGTTAAAAAGGGAGCCGCAGTCACCAGGCTTTTTGTTTTTAGTGGGCTTTCCACTGCTCTCCAACTGTGGACCTGGTCCCAGCCTCTGCTGACTGTGTTGCAATGTAGTGATCATGAATAAGAGGTGCAGTCAGGAAGACCCATCTTCGCTAGTGCGTGAACAAAAGTGTCTGTGGTCTGAATGGTCAGTCATTAACATCCTGTGGAAAGAAGGATGTATCATAAGCATTTTATTGTAGCTGATTTACATGTCCATTGGAGTTCATTTTTATTCCCTTTGGCTTCATTTTTGGATCTGTTTAATGGTGATAAATACTTGAAAGTATTTCTGTTGCGTTTTTTTTCCTTTAATGAAGATGATTTAGATTGCACTGACTCTTCATGTATGTTATTCTGCTAAAAGTAATGGCATGCAAAGTTGTATGGATAAAGAGTTTTAATGAATTGTTGCCTTAATTAAATGTTATGTGTTGGTTTTAACATTTTGTTGAATTAAAATTTGTTTTCTGATTCCTTGTGCAGCTTCCTCCGTACAGTGGAACAGTTCTGTGTGGCACACAGGCTGTGGATAAACTACCTGATGGTAAGCTAGTTCTCTCCTTATTTCCCTGAAGGGAATTTTGGCCATACGTGCTGGGTGGGCAGGCTACCTGTAAACATTGTTTTCCCATTTGAATAAACATTTCTTTGCAGCTTGAACTTTTTGCTGTAAACTGTAATGTATTTAATTACTGAATCACTTTGACTAGTGAATTAGTTTTAAAGCGTATCCTGTGCTTCGGAGTGCCAGCCATTTAGTTTAGGAAATGGTTGTTGAGTAATTTTTTTCCTAACAGTTCTGAGTGCAGCAGGTACGTTACTCTTCATCAGCACATGCCCGGGTTGAAGGAGCTTTGGGTCTTGTTGCTAAGCAGCCTGCTGGCTCCAGCGCGGGCTAGCTTCTGAGCCTGTGTTCTTTGTAAACTAAGGGGCAGCTTGCATCTATTGTTCTTGCAGTTTACATTCATGTCGTGGTCTGTTGCTGACTCTTGGGAACTCAGGTCACCTCTTTACCTCCTGGTCTGTTACGTTTTTGGGTCTCCATCACAGACACTGAGCTGATTATCAGAGATGGTGCTTATGGAGATGCAGTGATTTTGTATTGCTTAAGTACCCAGTGTTTTAATACCAACAAGGTCATTTAATTATTGCAGGCTGCCCTTGCACAGTTGAAACCTGTCTGGATCGTTTTTCAATCTGAATCACTTTAAAGGCCCTTGCTGGCCTCCAGGAAACTGATGCCAAACTTTTTCTTTGAGAGTTAGGGGTTCGGATTCCCTGTTTAGTTAGCATGGTCAGACTTATGAAAGGGGTTTTAGTTACAGTTTAGGCCTCAGTATAAACCTTGAAAAGACTAACCAAATGTTTTATCTCCGGTAACATCAGGGAGTGATTATATCTAAAATGTTAGATTTATAAGAAGTGTGAGAGACTGTAAGGGAAAGAGCAGATCTAACAATAGCTTAGGACAAGTAATAAAATAAATGAAGCTCAAGGGACCCGAAAGCCGGGCTGCTCAGTCTCCTGAGCCACCTTTTAATTGGCTGATGTCAGTCTCTCAGGCATCTGAGTCAGTGGGACTTCCTGTCACTGTGTGCTTTGAACGTAGTGAGCACGCTGCTTGTGTTGATCCAGTGCTTACAAATGCGCCATAATTTTCCCATGCACATCACGTGATTTCTTTGAGTTCACCCTCCTCCCTGTGCGGTAGGCACCACCAGCTCCCCCAGCCTCTGGAGTTCTGCTTCCCGCTCTCTCCTTCCAGCCTGCCTGCCCTTTTCGGTGACTGCTTCTTGGCCCTTTTTCTCCATTTTTTGCTCTCTTCCCTCTAAGTCCTGCTTTTTTTCTGCCAGAAGCACGACTGGAATCTTGCCACCAGCTTGCACAGTTAGTGACAGGCCCGCTTTTCTCTGCAGCCTTTTCTGGGTCTCTTGTGTTTCCATGACATTAGTTTCTCTTCCAGTGTCTATTCGACTGTACAGAGCCTGTGGGTACTGTCATGGACCTGCCTCCCTTTCCAGACTGCTCAGCTGCTGATGGCAGGGTCCATTTCTCTCTGTCTGTCACTGTGCCTGTAATATCTGGAATGTTGTAAGCCCTCAGTACATTTGTTGGATGAATGGTTTGGAATACTTTATTCTGCTCCCTTCTACCACCTCTAGCTGCAGCAAGCCCTTTGCAGAGGCACCTCATCGTGGTTTCCCTTTTACACCTCGGCCTTTTCTATTTTTGTGTTTTTAAATTTTTTTATATTTTAATTTTTGTAGGTACATAGTAGGTATGTATATGTATGAGGTACATGAGATATTTTCATACAGGCATATGACAAGTATTAATCACATCAAGGTGAATGGGTGTCCTTCACCTTAAGCACTGCCTGTTTTAGATGTTTGTAAAGCCTGAGATACCACTCCTTCACCCCGCCCTTACCAATTCAGTGATCCATCAAGTTCCACTGACCTCTCTAGTTTCCGATGGAAGTTGATCACTGTTTCCTGCATCCAGAAGAATCCTTTTTCTAGAGCTATTCACAGCCTTCTCTCCCCTCCCTCCATGTTTTCATTCTCAGTTGTTTGTATTTGTCTCCCTAATAAATGTGAATTCTCTGAGCAGGGCCCTTGTGTTACTAATCTCTGTATATTTCCCTCCTTCACCCTCTGTCTTGTAGTCCAGACCACTCTACTGCATGTACTGCAGTGAGCAGCCTTGGAGAAACGCTGTGTTAGGATTCATGGTTTTATGTCCCTCTGCCTGCATTACCTGAGTGTTGAGTTTCCATCTTCCTAATGTGCTGATTGGGTTGTTGAAGCCAAACGTGCAGGCCTTCCTGCACTTCATCTGCCTGGCAGATTGGGCTCCGAACTCTGCCATGCGTCCATTGTGAGTGTTCCTCGATAAGAGGAACTGTGCTGGCTAGGAATCCGCCTTCTAGTGAGATGATCAAACATGGTATTGAGTAAATGTTTGATACTAACTGTGACATACTGAAATAGTTCTGTTCACATTACATCACGTTCTAGAATGTTTTATGTTCTGATAAGATTGAGAATTGAGATGTGGACAGCACATCTGTGTCTTAGAAACAGTCAATCTTGCGTAAGCAGAAGGACACAACACATTCTAGTTTCGAATGTGATTTCACAGCCTTCAAAGGGCAGGCTCCACGTGGAGTGTTCTTCCCCAGGCACACCTGTTTCAATCCAGGGAGTCTTGAGAGCCCCAGAACATCTGGGAGTAGGGGATGCCTGGAACCAAAATGGACAGTCAACCCCTAGGTATGATAATAAATTCAGTTCCCCTGGATAATTCTTTTCAAAGTAAGGAAACAAAATTTAAATAGTAGCCAAAGGAATTAGATGGTCATGACTTTATACGTAAACTTGCTGTTAGGTGTAATCGTCATCAGTGTTCTTTTCCAGGAACTTGCTGTTGTTGGGGCAGGATTGTGCTGCCACCACCCCCACCCCCCACAGTGGGGGGCTGTGATTCCAAAGCATACAAAGATTCAGGAGACCTCAGGAGGCTGTTTTGCTCCAGCCTCCTGCCCACTCACTTGCACGTAACTGGCCCTTCTCAGGGTCTGTATTTTTTCTTCTACAAAAAGACTTCTAGGGGTCCTTCCAAGGTAAAATATATTCATTTCTCTGCAGTAGAACACCGTTCTTTGGGTATTAGTTTCTTTTCTTGAGATACATGCCTTGAAAAAAAAATTGGCCCCTTAATGCTAGCCTGGAAGAAATCTTTAGCTATGCATTAAAGATGAAATAGAAGGCATGTGTCCTTCCCTTAACTTCAAAATGTGTAACTTTTTATCAAATACAAGGTGACATCGATGCTTGATGTCTGTTGAAAGACAAAATTGATTCTAAAACTTAACCTAATTTCAGAGATGTAAACTGTAAAAATACATCTGTCTTAGCATGAATGAAATATGTGGATTGTGGTTACCTGGGAAGGAAGTATTGAAGGCTTCCCAAGAGATATTGAAAAGTTCACAATTCTAACTTTTTCTTTTGGTATTTTCGGAAGGCTTTACCACCCATGGAGTTAATCCAGTGTGGCTTTATTTAGAGGACATTCGCGTGTGTTCGTGTCAGGGCCACTTTTCAGACTTAATGGAAGGTTACCAGTGGAGGAGACCAAGAGATGAAGAATTCAAAAGAGTGCTCTGAAGTGCGCCTTTATATATACGATTCTCTCCTGTTGTTGTTGTTGAATCTTTTTTTGGCATCTTTTTGTGTTTCTAAATTTATACTTTCTAATTTCTCCTATCCAGAATATATAGGGTTCTTTGCGTAGTTCATGTTTTTGGAATTAATCAAATCACGTTAACTAGAGAAGCTGATTTAACCATTTTTAAGTCCCTAAGTTAGTTGTCATGATCCTTTAAAATTTAAGTTGTCCAAAATACATATTCCTTTATCTTAGGCATAAGGCAGCTGTAAGAAAGTCAGATTCCATTGAGGGATATTTTTAAACTGGCAAAATATTACTTGCTTTTTGTTACAAATGTATTTTAATTTCTACCTTCTGAAAGCCTTCCTTAGCTAGGAAGATAAGTACAGACTTCTGCTTTTCATATCCCCAAATTAAATAATTTTATGGTTTCATTTTCAGCAAATTGTTCCACATAAGTAAAGGACGTAATAGGTTTGTTGATTAGGAAGAGAATTTAAGGTTTTCATTTTCAAAGAGAAAGTGAGTAATTACTGGTACTTAGAGTTTGTAGAACTGTATTCTTAACTAATAGTTTGTTTTCTAAACAGGACAAGAATATCAGAGAATTGAGTTTGGTGTCAATGAAGTCATCGAACCCAGTGACACTTTGCCGAGAACCCCCAGCTACAGTATTTCAAGCACACTGAACCCTCAGGCCCCTGAATTTATTCTCGGTTGTACAACTTCCAAAACAACCCCTGATGGTATCACTAAAGAAGCAAACTATGGCTCCATCGACTGCCAGTACCCAGGCTCTGCCCTCGCTTTGGATGGAAGTTCTAATGTGGAGGCGGAAGTTTTGGAAAATGATGGTGTCTCAGGTGGTCTTGGACAAAGGGAGCGTAAAAAGAAGAAAAAGCGGCCACCTGGATATTACAGCTATTTGAAAGATGGTGGTGATGATAGTATTTCCACAGAAGCCCTGGTCAATGGCCATGCCAGTTCAGCAGTCCCGAACAGTGTCAGTGCAGAGGATGCAGAATTTATGGGTGACATGCCCCCATCAGTTACGCCCAGGACTTGTAACAGCCCCCAGAACTCCACAGACTCTGTCAGTGACACTGTGCCTGACAGTCCTTTCCCCGGAGCACTCAGCAGTGACACCAGGACTGCAGGGCAGCCAGAGGGGAGCCCCGGGGCTGATTTTGGTCAGTCCTGCTTCCCTGCAGAGGCTGGCAGAGACACCCTGTCAAGGACAGCTGGGGCTCAGCCCTGCATTGGTACCGATACTACTGAAAACCTTGGAGTTGCTAATGGACAAATACTTGAATCCTCGGGTGAGGGCACAGCTACCAATGGCGTGGAGTTGCACACCACGGAAAGCATAGACTTGGACCCAACCAAACCCGAGAATGCATCACCTCCGGCTGACGGCACAGGCTCTGCATCAGGCACCCTTCCTGTCAGCCAGCCCAAGTCCTGGGCCAGTCTCTTTCACGATTCTAAGCCCTCTTCTTCCTCGCCGATGGCCTATGTGGAAACTAAGTATTCCCCTCCCGCCATATCTCCCCTGGTTTCTGAAAAGCAGGTTGAAGTCAAAGAAGGGCTTGTTCCAGTTTCAGAGGATCCCGTAGCCATAAAGATTGCAGGTATAGTTGAAAAGATACAAATCTAGAGTGAAGATGGGAACAGACCTCATCAACTGGTCTTATAGACTGTGGTGTTAGAGTGTTACCCATAACAATGGTAGATTACCTGTGTGTTAATAGCAGTGTCTGAAGAATGCCTATGTCTTAAATGTTCTCTAGAAGTAAGGCAATATAGAAACAAATGGGAGGAGAGGGTTGTCAAAACTTTAAGTTAAGTGAAAGATCCATGCCTGTTAGCAGTTCTTTTCTGTTGAGAAGTTACATTTCCATTTCTTGCCTTTTGTTCAAGTAATTCTGCTCCACGGTGTGAATGTATAATGGACTTTTTCTGTGATATACCTTTGGTGTGATAATCCTGATTTGTACTCACGGTGTGCTCCTTCCTTTTTATATTTCTTAAGATATAAGAAAGCATTTTGTGAAATAACATGTTTTTGTTTTTTATGCCTATTTTGCATTGAGTAAATGGATTTTATTCAGAATTTTGATAAATCAACGTCAGCTCTTGAAAGGAAGAGAATAATGTTAAGAGTTCAGCCCAAAGTTAATATTTTATTTTGAAGTGCTAAGGCTCCAAGGTAGAAACAATTACAATAAAAATAGAAAGCTGCATAATTCACAGGTTGTTTTTAAAAAGTTACAGTAGGAAGTCAGAAATGCAGCACGGTATGAAAGAGGTATGTGTGCTCACACAGCCACATGTTGCGTAACGATGGATGTGTGCTCTGAGATGTACATGTTAACCTCAGAGAGTACTACACAAATACAGATGGTAGAGCCTTCGGCTAGTGGTGCAGCCTATTGCTCCGTGTCCAGCATGTCACTACTGAGTACTGTAGGCAGTTGTAACACAGTGCTAAGTATTTGTGTGCCTGAACACATTTAGACATAGAAAAGATACAGTACAGATAGGGTATAAAAGATGAAAAATGCTTCACCTGTACAGAGCACTCATCATGAATGGAGCTTGCAAGACTGGAGTGACTCTGGGTGAGTGAGTCGGTGATGAGTGCTGAGTGAATGTGAAGGCCTAGGACAGTACTGAGCAAAGCCGAGCTTTATAAACACCGTACACTTAGGCTGTACTACGTTGATTTACACATTTTTCCTCAATAAGAAATAAACCTTAGCTTACTGTAACCTTTTTACTGTTTATTTTACTTTTAAATTAAAAATTCTAAACTTTTTGACTCATGAGAACACTTAGCTTGAAACACACACTGTACAGCTATACAAAAATATTTTCTTCCTTTTTATTCTTATTCTATAAGCTTTTTTCTATTAAAATTAGTTTTTAACTTTTTAAACTTAAAAACTAAGACACAAACATCAGCCTGGGCCTGAACAGGGTCAGGAGCATCAAGACGTCACTAGGCAACAGGGCATTTTCAGCTCCATTAGAATCTTGTGGGACCATCATCTGTGCAGTCCGTCGTTGACCGAAACATTGTTACACTGCCCATGGCTGTAACCTGCCTAAGAAGCAGAAGCTCGGTCATCAGGTTGGATTCTACTAAGCTTGGTAGCCGGCTCTTCAGATTCTTACCCTAGCAGCCAAGTTAAAATAAGCTGTTTCGTTTAGGCTCTCTGTAATACTTTCTGATGTGACCTTTTGGAACACTTGACAACCTTCATTTTTTTTTTTTTTTTTTTTGAGATGGAGTCTCGCTCTGTCACCCAGGCTGGAGTACAGTGGCCGGATCTCAGCTCACTGCAAGCTCCGCCTCTTGGGTTTACGCCATTCTCCGGCCTCAGCCTCCTGAGTAGCTGGGACTGCAGGTGCCCGCCACCTTGGCCGGCTAGTTTTTTTGTATTTTTTAGTACAGACGGGGTTTCACCGTGTTAGCCAGGATGGTCTCGATCTCCTGACCTCGTGATCCGCCTGTCTCGGCCTCCCAAAGTGCTGGGATTACAGGCTTGAGCCACCGCGCCCGACCTGACAACCTTCATTACCAGGATGTAGCAGCAAGCTGCCAAATGCACACCCTTCTGTGGAGGGTCAGAATTGTGTAAAAAATAAAACATATTCTTTGGATGGCAGTAGGATGATGGCAAGCAATGTATACATTTCTTTAAGAGTATTTTATTCCTCATACAAAATACGTTATCTCAGGTACTCTTGTTGCTCTGAAGTTCTCTTAAAATGAAGAAATAATAGGCCATACATCGTTATTTTGGGCTTCATATATGTTTTTTAAAGCCAGGTGATTTTTTTTTTTTTTTTTTTGAGATGCGGCCTCACTCTGTTGCTCAGGCTATAGTGCAAGAGGCTCAATCTTGGCTCACTACAACTCCGCCTCCTGGGTGCAAGTGATTCTCCTGCTTCGGCCTCCCAAGTAGCTGGGATTACAGGCACATGCCACAATGTCCAGCTATATATTTTTTTTTTGATTTTTAGTAGAAATGGCCTCAAACTCCTGACCTCAAATGATCTGCTTGTCTCAGCCTCCCAAAGTGTTGGGATTCCAGGCGTGAGCCACTGCACTCAGGCCAGGCAATTTCTTTAACACAGCTTTCAGGATGTATTTATTGCAAGGACTGATATTGTAAGATAGATTGTGTAAGCCTTTTGTATAGATTACTAAGTGAAAAGTTTATTTTTAACCTATAATGAGAAATGCACAGCGGGGTGCTCTTAAAAATGCATTCTAAGTTCGAAGTCATGAGCATTATTTTTTTTTTTTGAGAGGGGGTCTCACTCTGTCACCCAGGCTGGAGTGCAGTGGTGTAATCTCAACTCACTGCAACCTTCTCTTCCTGGGTTCAGACAATTCTTCTGCCTCAGCCTCCCGAGTAGCTGGGACTATAGGCGCCCGCCACCACGCCCGGCTAGCTTTTGTATTTTTAGTAGAAACGGGGTTTCACCATGTTGGCCAGGCTGGTCCCGAACTCCTGACCTCAAGTGATCCTTCCGCCTCCGCCTCTCGAAGTGCTGAAATTTCACACATGAGCCACTGCGCCCAGCCGAGAACATTATAGTTCTGTTTCTAAAATAGCTCCACAAAGGATCCCTAGGATGGGAGGTTTTCTCAATCTTTATTTAAAATAAGAAAGGAAAGCTTCATTTTAAATGTTTTAAAACATTCTGCTTAGTCATATGACTTTAAATATAGTTTGATAAATAGTTATGTTCTGTTTATGTTAAAGTCTAGTTGAAGTAGCTTTGTCAAACACTGAAGAGCCTCTTAATGACTGGTAGAGGAAAGCCTTGCCACACACAGTCCACGTAATTATTTTTGTATGGACCTAGTGTAAACCCCTCCCCAACAGATTTTTTTTAATCCTATTTTGGTTAGATCAGTTATGAAGATGTTTTAATTTTCTGAGTGAAAGTGTAGCTTCTTTAAAAGTACGTAATTCTTTTCAGCCTGTTTGTTGAGCCTTCGATATGCAGCATGTAATTGCTGACAGTTTCAGGATTCTCGTAAAATATAGAGCAGTAGAGTCACATTAAATAACTCTTGGGATCATATAGGGCTTAGGGAGAATGGCATTGTTTGAACTTTTTGTTGTTGTTTTGTTCTCCTACTTAGGGATTTACTTTATAAAAGTACCAAAATATACTCAATTTGTTACAAGTCAGATCCACTACCACAAATTCCCTTTAGTGGGCATACTTTTTTTTTTTTTTTTGAGATGGAGCCTCGCTCTGTCCTCCAGGCTGGAGTGCAGTGGCACTATCTCGGCTCACTGCAAGCTCCGCCCCCCGGGTTCACGCCATTCTCCTGTCTCAGCCTCCTGAGTGGCTGGGACTACAGGCGCCCGCCAGCACGCCTGGCTAAATTTTTTTTTTTTTTGTATTTTTAGTAGAGACGAGATTTCACCGAGTTAGCCAGGATGGTCTCCATCTCCTGACCTTGTGATCCGCCCGCTGCGGCTTCCCAAAGTGCTGGGATTACAGGCGTGAGCCACTGCGCCCGGCCTAGTGGGCATACTTTTTTAAAGTGTAGGCCCACTTATTTTAAGCAGCGTTTAACTGAGTGAAAGTCTAGTTTCATTAAAAGATCTCTTGATGTTAGTTATAATAGAATTTGACTTGCATTAGTATCTGTTTCTACTGAGACAGTGGTATTTGTGTTACTAACTTTTGGGAAAGAGGGAGTGGGGAATGATTTAGACATTAAATATATTCCTTTCTGCCAGGCATGATAGTGTGGAGATTGAGGCTTGAGGATTGCTTGAGCCTAGGAGTTTGAGGCCAGCCTGGGCAACATACTGAGACCCCCGTCTCTTAAAAAAAAAAAAAAAATTTATACACAAAATGCTTAGAGTAATTTGTGTATTTTTTGTCTCAAGTTTATTTGTTTCAAATACCCACATTTCTGGACTATTTCCCCTATTGTTAAGCCTGCTTAATAAATGCCAACTAGTTTTTATGCTATCAGAAGTGAAATTAAGAAGGCAGATTGACTAAAAGAAAAAGAATCACATGTAAGGCATTTGGAAGTGAAATACATTAAACTCTTGATTACTCTTAAACTATCCACTTCAATGGGTTCTACTTGGATCTTCTTGGTGGCAAGGCCATCTCCTGGGTGTAGGTTGTGTGTCAACATTTTCTTCCATTGGCTGTTTTTTAAGTGTAAACTGTTCTTTAAGAGGAGAAGGACACGCCAGGGGAAAGCAAGTGAACTGAACACTCAGTGACTTCCTTTAGCCTCAAGGGAAGGATGAATCTAAACACAAAAGACCAGTCCTGCGGAGGGTTGGAGAGGGATCTGTGTTTCAGCGACTGGTCTGAGAGGAGACGATTGCCGTTTTCAGTAGGAGTCAACAAAAGGAAACTAGAAAGTCTTAATACAGCCCGGCATAGTGGCTCACGCCTGTAATCCCAGCACTTTGGGGAGGCTGAGGTGGGCAGATCACTTGAGGCCGGGACTTCAAGATCAGCCTGGCCAACATAGCGAAATCCCGTCTTTACTAAAAATATAAAAATTAGATGGTTGTGGTGGCTCGTGGCTGTAGTCCCAGCTACTGAGGAGCCTGAGGAGGGAGAATAG